ACCGGCAGTATTTATAGACTTTGAGTGGGGAAAGTCAAGTTCTTATTGTATTATTGCTTAATTATTAGCGTGTCTTTATTATCAAGTGAAAGCAACATTCGTACAAATTTTCTGTTGCAAAAATCTAAAATAAATATTTATTAGATTTCAGGATCAAGTTTTGCAGTATCGTGAGAACATGAGTCGTTTGGTTCGTGCTCTATTTAAAAAGTAGAGAAAACTCCTGCTCCCAAATAATGATTGCACCCAAGGTCTCCATATGTTTATCTAGCAAAAAATATTGCATGTAGTTAAAGTAGAGCAAAGTATAAATGTAAGAAAATATGATAAAAACTGGAGCATAATGGAACTTCAGATAGGTTATAGTTTGTCTAGGAGTGCACACGCATTCATCTCCGTTCACCTAATTACCCAATTTAGTTGAACATTGAAACCTTTATTCATTTCCATTCTGACAAAACCCAGAAAATTTACGATCTGAATTCTTCGGTCTTCCTGTTGATTTCAATTATGTCATTTGCACTATTGCACTTATGTACATATGCATGCATGTGATTGAACTGCTCAGATTGAGCTGATAAACTGGATTCATTCCGCAATAATAATAATACTTTAAGCAGATGTTCTTTGGCCTCATAATAGGGTAACCGACTTATCGTTGGGTGCAAAACGAATAAGCATCCCCTCATGGACGAGGTACCAATATTGCAGATTTGCACATAGTGTTCCCTAAGTTATAAGATATTGAGCTCTTCTTCCTATTCCATTGCCTCTTGGTTTTGTTAATCTGAATAAATATGCATAATGTGTTGCTGTCCTTCTGCCAAGCAAAATATAATAAACATAGATTGCAAAAAGAATTGCGGTCTTGGGAGCTACCTCATTAATTCACCGTGCGGACAGGAACAATTTTCTACTTGGAACCCCATTTGAAATGCATACATACATATGTCTAACAACGGCTCGATCAAAGTGTGGAAGGCTTATCGGGTACATTGGTGATGATGAAATAGAGCAGCTGCGGTAATCGATTAATTTAATTTGCATGACTTAATTTGCATGGTTTAATCTCATTGTGGAGTAAAATATTATGCATACACGAAGAAGCATGTTTGTATCATTATGAGTTCAAAGTACTTGTCATCATGTAAGTATTGTCTTAATGTCTGGATTCATTAATTGAACTTGGCCGTCAAAATAAATGTGCCTACCTTAACGACGATATTTATCAGAATTTTCAGTACCATTTGCAAAATCGCTGTACTATGAGATTATTAATACATAGATACAACTGTAATAATCATAATAAATATTACTCAGCCATGATGTTATGCAGGCAACCATACATAACGTACAACCAGTTGTATGTTTTTGCCATTGTGTCAAGTTTGCCATTACATTTTTCGGGCTCAGCATCCTGCTGTTAAATGGCAATGAGAGGAGTCCTATTGTGCAATGTGTAGCTGGTGGTCAGCATTGTCAAGAATGAACGCGTGTGGGAAGACTCAACATTTTCAGAGAAACAAAGACAAGGACATGGCCAGGCAATTGCAGCTTCATCATCACAAGACTTCAAACTTGCTCGTTGAAGGTGAAAGTAATGCAGCTTTTTAAGTCAATGTCATACAAATTGTTGTCTTACAACGACCATATTTGAGAAACAACGCAGTTAATACGACACTAAAAATATTCAAATTCACAGAATGACTACGTCTCCTCTGAGAGATGGAACATCACACCATCCGTTTTCCGTTCCCATTTAAAATGGTAATAAATGACAGATGTAAAACCGAATACAGATATTTTGTAAGAAATCACGCACATTATAAACCTTCGTTTTCGGGGTGTGTAAGATGTCAGGGAAAATGCGAAGCAATTGTGGGAAGAAATGGGTAGACAGTTGTGCGACAGCGAAAACAAATAGTGTGAACCAACACGTTAAGCTTTCAAGCTTACGACACTCTGAAAGCAAAATGTAATACGTGCAAGAAAGTGTCGCAGCAAATTGTAATGGAATTTGCAATTTTTCTCAAATTTTTCCAAGAACCTACGCCTACATAAAAAAAGAAGAAAAAAGGTGTCCATGTTTTCGCAATTTTTTCCTTATACCGATTTATACATTTTTTGTTATTCCAAATTTCTAGAGTTCCAATGACGCTGCTTTGTGTTTACGACTTTGTATTTGCTTAGCGTCGATACGACATGTTTGCATATACAGAGTATGAAGAAAGATAGTTTTTATCAATAATATTGTTATCATTTATACACTTAATATTTATGTTGAAAAGTGTCATGAAGATGGCACATTTTGTTATTGCGTTGTGTTTGTGCACCTCAAAAATGTTAAAAAAGACCATCGGAATAAATACAATTTAATTTGTGTAATTCGTCACATTTTACGTTTTTAGTCATACGTGGTTTGGTGGACATTAAATAATTATAAAACTTTATTTATAAAATCTCATTTACTTCACACATCTTAAATTTATGTCATGAATTAAGAGTCTGCATTTGAATAAGATTTTATTTCCACAAAAGTATTACACTATCATCCACTGTCCATCACCGTCATTCATTAAGACTTTGGCGTTGCTTTCAGTAAATAAGGATTCATTAACACGTGGCTTGTCATAAGCTAACTCAATGATGACTTAAGATTAGACAACACAACAAATAGGAAAATTTCGTAAAATGTTTTCCATAACTAATTATTTACTTGTAAACAACAACATCAAGGATGACACACCTGTATTTGTTTATTTTTTGTGTTGTTCTACTGAATTTCCACAAATTGTTTTGAACAAATTTTAAATAAGCGTGAGTAATCTCTTCCTTTGTTTCAGTGGATCTGTCAATTTCTTTAGCACTCCTCCCTTTCGTTGGTTGGGTTCGAAGCCAAAGTATTGAATTGAGTGAAGATTCGCCTGATGACGTAGAACAATTAAGGTATATGACGTTCCAGATAACGCTGCTCCGTCATTTTTCTCGTGCCATTCACAAGAATTGTAACCATATATGTATCTCGATGCAATGCATCAGTACCCAAAACGAGAAATATTTTATTACTCTTCATCATATATGTACATACATGCTGCTCGTATTACATATATTGCAGTGGAAATTACGCGTTTCATCTGCCGAACAAAACCAACCCCACCAGTTCGTAGAATGAGTCGATGCTCTTCCATGATATAAATTTTTAACGCTACAAAGTAGCGAAAAAAATGGAAGCAAAGATATCGATGATTCAAGTCAGATAATTTTGTTTTTCTTTATTTGCGAATAGATATTGAACAGGATAATGGTGGATAACTACATGCATGGAGCACGAGCATACAAACTGATACAAACTTGTTTTTCGATCTTTGAACCAACTCTGTGCAAGATCAACATATTAAGTAAATTATTAGGATGAGATTTAGCTCAAGTCTCACCAAGAAGGTAGGCGAGATGATGTAGTTAATGTGTGGAATGTGTGTTGGGATTTCACAAAATGAGGAGGCGACAAGCTGTCTCGACTCGTGTTCATCGGTAATGTGATGAATAAAGTTTACTTTGGTAAACTTCAGAACGCTTTTATAAATGAAGGAACTCCATAAAAGATAATGTGCATGTACATAACTTTGTAGCTGGCTTAAACTGAATACACACCAATAATTAATGTGTTCAGAGGAGTCTCACATGATCGGCAGTAGTCATTCCTTTGCCGAATGAGGTTATGCAATTCGCTAAATTTTTACACGGCTCATTGGACAAGTTAAAATACGAGTGTGGCTGCTGCATTATAAAATTTTAATCAGGTTGTTTACTTTACTTGAAATGAGATGAAGGAATTCGCATCGCACACGAGGATTAAGGGTTATTCACTGCGAGTAAGAAATGGATCATCACCACCCGCAAATTATTATTTTGTACATTTTGCTTTGCTAAATTATTGGCTGGATTGGAGTTGAAAGTACGTTTGCATTTTTATAATTATTTTCGTACGTTCTGGTTTCGTTCCAGCTGTCGTTGGCTAACATTAAAATAAATCAGGGACCTCACGCTTCGTCAACAAAGATTTTTATTTGTCGTGGGTACAGTTGTACTTTGAGATGGATATGCTTGTTTGAGTTACGTGTGAATCTATGAAAAAAGTAGCCGATATCGAATTCCTTGATTGATTTGTAGTTGACAACTTTAATTATGAGAAACGGTTGTGTTTATACTTCCCATAATTCCTTTTCTTGAAGCTGCTAATTTTGTTTATGGTAGTCGCCAAGAACCCGACCACCCTTGCAAATTGAGATAGGCTCAATTCCCAAGCAGATTTTGAATTAGTGATGAACGGATGCTGGTAATTATGCAATTGGCGTCAGTTTGACAGAATGTGAGGGTGTTCCTGTGGATGATGTGTAGAAGCAGTCTTCCTTGTCAGTTCAAGGATCAAAAGGGTTATTTTGAAGATAAACTAAAGCAATGTTAAATTATTTGGTTTTGTATTGTGTATCACTACACAAAACCGATGTTCTTGCTTACATGGGAAAATAGAGAAAATTGTTTATAAAAATGATTATTATGGTGAAATAAATCCTGTCTCCCAGAAAAGCTTTGTAATCCGACTTACTGTTTTGCACGGGACACATTGTTTACGATTCTACAAATTCCAATTTAAGTAGATAAAAAATAAATATTTCATCCAGAATAGATTCAAAAAATTTAACGTGTTAACGACAGTTTATGTTACTTATTTCAGCTTACATGCATTTCATTCTCATTTCTAATCTAGGATAATATTCGTAAGTAATTAATCACGGGTTAAAATACATATGTAACTTACTAATCGGCACTTTCAAAAATTAAATTTGTGTCATATACAAATAATCATTTTGTTTTATGATCTATTGTGCCTAGTCGGATTGTCGAGACTGGGGCTATGATGAGGTGACGAAATGAAGCACGTCAAGTGCAATGTCATTCGATTTGACAGTGGCACAAATTTCTTAGACAAAGCCCTTGACTGATTTTTATTAGCTGGGCAAGCAAATTCTTGCCTTTTATTTTTGGGATGAAACTTCGTCTCAAACGTTTTAAGGCGTAGAAACAATAATTGTACACAAAACCAGTTGCTAAATTAATTTAGCGGATTTATAAGAGTTAGTTTTTACATATAAGTTCATTACATGTTTATGAAGAACATGATTGTTTTTAGATTTCGGATCTTAGATTTCCAGCCATTTTTTACTCTGGTGTCAAACCAAGCAAACAATACATAACTAAGGATAAGTAAAATAAGGATATAACAAAATAACTTCAAATCTTCAAATCTATGTAGCCGATTAATACAGCAGATTAAAGTGAGGTTTCTACTTATGTACAATTAGTTATGTTTAAGGAAATACTTGTACAAATTGTATATTTGTGCCAACTTCATTAAATTATTACATAATTATCCTATGCCTATAAAGACGACGATCAAGTCCAAAATCACGTATGTATGTACATATGTATGTATCTACATACTTATGTCTGTATATACTGCGTCGCCTACTCTGGATGTCTGCAGCGTTTATAATTCCACCCCCACACGAATTCATTTACATTCAGAAAAAAATAGTTTATGAGATTCCACACGTGTATGACTTTCCGATGACAACTAATTGACAGATTTTTTATAATTAAAGTTCTCTGATTATTTGCATATTTAATGCGCAGAATGAAATTAATTGGATTAACTAATCGAGGAGCGTATAAATAATGTGAATATTGACTTGGGAGAGCTTACCTCATAATTTCGTGATTATAAAGAACCTTGGAACTCGAAAGTTATTGGCATGTGCACAAGCCTGGCAAAAAATTGTCCAGCTTAACCCTCCCATACATCGTGGGATGAAATAAAATGAATGTACTTATCCATTTATAAATTGCTCACAAACCACTCTTTGATCTCTTCCAATGGGTCGTTTGAGGTACGATGTATGTATGAATGATATATTGGAGTAGCTAAGGAAAAAATTTGCAAAAATTGTCAACGTGCCATTAACAACTCATCGATCTCAGATTCAATTCGGTCCTATTATATACTATAAATAGCTTAGGATTAATAGACTCATAAGAACAGTGTCTCATACATATTGCTACCTAACACAGTTCAACAAGTCATGCATAAGGCTGAGCAAAAGAGTTTAGAAAAAACAATTTCGCCTTATCCTTCAGAAGGTTGAGGGACGATAATAATTTGTACTGCTTTAAATTCCAATAGTCCAACTAAACGGTGTTGGCGGTAGGTCGGCGTACGGAAGTCGTGTGAACAAAAGCTAAGAAAAAGTATGTGTAGCATCTGGGATGGCTGTGCTTCATTTGTTTTGTTTTTGAGATCGTAGAATGGCCCAGCAGATGAAGAAGAGGATGGAACCTAATCAAAACACAATTTTCTATTAGATAAGTTTGAAAGTAAAATTTACAAAAATTAAGTACACACACGAACTATTTACGTCTCTAAAAGTCATTAATGACAAATTGTACAACTTCAATACGGTTGAAGAAAGTAATAAAGTAAATTTGGCCTAAACATATCAATATCCTTGATGAGAGGGTGAGGTCATTGTGTTATCACGGAAGGAGACAACCACGCTAAAATGATATTTTGGTATACAGATGAGCGCATTGTGTGCTGAGATTGAGATGAGATGGGAGTTTATGGCTTGGTTTATGGGAGGAAGGTAAAATTTTGTGTATACATTTCAACGAACTGGAACAAAGCGTAACGTCATAACTCATACTCACAACGGCACACGACACAAAATAATCTGCAGTACAAGGAAGGAGACACAAACTTACTGGTAATTAGAGCTCCTGGGTAGAGAATGATAATTGCTGTTCGGTAGCTGGTGATATTGGCAATCGGATCAACAATTACAGGTGTGTTTCCTCCAACGTTATTAATGCAAAAAAGTACAATTGACACAGCCTTGGAACGAATGTCGGTAGGGACGAGTTCCACCAGAATTGCAAACATGACGCCAAACCACATTTCGGCTGAAATTTGAAATCCAGTTTGGTCGAGACTTTGATAACGTGAATATCATGCCAAATATGTACTTACCAGCGATATACGCAGCCAAGAGAGAAAACAGTGCCAATGGGGGTTCCAAGAAAAACAATGCAAAAGCAAAGGGGCTAGCGATTAACTGAGAATAATTTAAAATATCCGTCAAGCATATCAATTTACAATTAATTAGTGACAATTTTGGATTATTCAATACTTGACTGATGGCTAGAACCAAAGCTCGTGCAGAGATCCCCAATTTGCTCACAAGTCGATCCGACGCATAACCTCCGATTAAGGTACCCGCTGCCCCTGCTCCAATGGATATTCCTATAAAATTTGTTACAAAAATTAGGGCCACATTCACCTGAATTTATCATAACGATTAATTTATCATATTTTTAAGTTTTGGGCAAGACGATAGAAGTTTGGTTTCATCAAGGGCCTCATAAATTTCTGAGTAAAGTGGAGTCAAATTTAATGATCATTTGTCGTTTTGTTCGTAACATCAGACAAAATAAAAAATATAATTAGTCTATGAAGCCGGAAAAAGAAGGAATTCCTTTTTCAAATGCGACAAGTGCACGCGGTGTAAGGGAAACAATTAAAATGGAATGCCGTTTATTGTTAATTGTTCCACTGGTAACGATTATTTTAGGCATTCAACATTATTAATAATAATTACTTATTTTCATAACCCTCAGCCCCCGTTATATTGCGTCGTCGTGAGAAAACGACGATGATTTCGCCATCACCAAAAACTAAAACGACACAATACTCAGTTTTAGTGAATAATACCTGTGAGCCATAATGACACATCGTAGTCCGGATAGTACGTTTTGAAGTACAAGGCAGAATTATATCCCCAACAAAAACCAGCTGAAAACGAAAATAAGACGCTAATTGATTGATTACAAAATGCAAAACTTCCTATAGATTTTACCAGAATGGCGAACACAAGCTCCGACAAGGAGGAAGATCATGGCCGGATTTTTCATTATCTTCCACCCTATCCTAAGGCCGTGAAGTAATTCACCCCACCTCGACCCACTAGCATTATTGCCACCTTTCTCCTTTTGGATTATGGTGAGATTACTCCCATCTCCATGATTTGTTACGTCCTCCTCCATGTCCATCATCACCTTTGGTCGTGCAGTAGTCAAATCTCCTCCGCCGCCCGAATTGTCTCCATGACCCACACAACCAGCAACCCCGTGTGGATCAGAGTGTTCTTTATTGGTGTACTTCACCACGCCATTCCCGTCATTTGTCTCATTATAGGTTTCCGAGCCTATATTGATGGTGACACTGACTGTGATGGCTTCATTTTCAGCGTCTGAAAGCGTCCTCGAAGGTTCTATGGCCGTGAAGAGGAAGATCACAGCTAATATGATGCCAGGTATGCCACTCACCATGTAAGACGCTCTCCATCCCTGAGATGTCACAAAAATGGGGAAATAAATGACACATTAATTGGAATCTGTATATAGGGCATCAATTTATAAAAATAAACCCTATTACTCCGAGTTATTGCATGGATGCATTTCATGTGCAACATATTTCTTTACAATAACAATTAACCCAAAAATCCTGTATGATTAGTGTTGAGTATTAAATTAAAAACGCACCGTCAACTTTAACAAGGTTAATAGCAATGCATACGACAAGCTGCCTGAGGACATTTCTACAAAAACTTTAAGTATCTAGAAAATGATAAATTTATAACGTCATTTTTCGTAGTAATAAACCTTCAAATATAACGAATGACCTAAACACCCAGTTAAACTTTTTAACCAGCCACTCATTGCAACTCAAACGAAATGAGCAACCTTTTGGCTGTGACGCAAATTTTGCATGATGTCCCATCTTTCAACCACATTTGTCTGCATCATATCCCAATTATTATGCTTTTTCTAATGGTAATTGACAGTATCATATGCGTTGACAAGCGTCCTCTTACCTTATCCAAAATGTTGGCATCTGTGACGTAATTCCCAACAGTGTATGAAAGTCCGTAGCCTATATAAATTCCCCAGTTGAAGAGACTCATTGCCAACCCGCGTCGACTCTTTGGGAACATGTCTGTTCGATTAAAAAAGAGAAATAAATTATGCAGGTACAGCTTAGTTTGGGTTAAGATATGGAATATGATTTGCAGTACCTGCAATAATCCCTGATGCCAACGGACTGCATCCAGATTCGCTGCATGGTCACAAAAGTATCAAATTAATTAACCCAACTGAAGCCCAATCGCATCAAGGACACTTTTATTATTTGTGTGGATTCGTACCCGACGCCTAAAGCCATCCTGAAGAGCAGTACATGCCAGTATTTCGTGGCGAATGAGGTTCCTGAAATGGCAGCGCTGAAAATTAAGGCTGCTACGGTTAGAAATTTGACCCGGTTGAATTTATCGGCAAAATAGCCCCATCCCAGTCCTGCAACCGTAAACATAGCCACAAAAGCTGGTCCTGCAAGAATATGATATTCTAAGCCGAGACCGGTATAGTCCCAAGTACAGGCTGGGACCAGGGTCCCATTCGATCCTATTGCAGTCACATTCCAGCATCTATTCGGTAATAAATACTTGTTAAGTTGTTCACTTTTTAATGGACAATAAAATCCGTCGTGCTTACTCGGATTCATTCTCGACATCTGTGCAAACTTCAGACTTAACATGGTCCATGTTTGCCTCTTTAAGGCACCCTTTGTCTCCATAATGAATGTCTTGAGCCATTGATCTGCTGACTGTCCCCAAGAGAAAATGTCCTAACTCTCCGATCATGTAGATGGACCCCATGAGGAAGAGGGACCAGTACGTTCCCCTTTTTATGGCCATTGCTTCCTTTTGTAGTTCTCGCAAGCCTAAAATTTGCACGGACGATTTTCTTCGATTCTTCTTGTAGGATACGGCAGTTGTCTTATTCGAAGTGGTCAATTTTTGGCGAAGGTTTCTGGACGCTGAACATCCTAGACTGTCATCGTCACACACTGGAAAAAGAGAAAGGTAGTTGTGATGGATAATTCCATGAAAATTTAGTACAGCCGTCAGTCTTAAAACGGTGGAAATAAAAGCATCTCAACTCCTATCTGCTATACTTAATTGTATGTGTTCGAATGGAAACAAAGGATACAAAATTGTCATATCATGTGCATATATTCTGCTACAGTTGATATACCAGATTAGTCATTTTTGACACATTCATTATTATGCTCATCTTTTGTCGTTGTTCACTTGTCATGGACACAAAATGTAATGTGCTTATTGCGTGACACACGATTATTTCACTGGCTCAATTGAATTAAAGGGCTCGTCCGAATTTGTGGCACTCTCAACTCCATCGAAAAGTAGAGTATATCGATTTCGTATAATTTTTCCTCTCTGCCTGTGCTACGCTTTTAAGCTAATTTTATCCTGAGATGGATACACCTACAAAATTTATGGAGATAACTTACCAATGAGTTAACAGTTGGTCGATGCTTAACTTTCTTTCAAGACATTGCCCACCACAATTTAACACAACCCTCAAATCTAGTTCACTTTACTGAAGTTCAATTAAATATTAATATAAAATATGTATGTAATGCAAGCAGGTGTTTTGATTGCACAATAATGATAGTAAACTAACGACTTTAGCAATTGCATAGTGCATGAATTGCTATCACTTTAAAAAATATGTAGTTACACGCCTATCGCATCTAAACGTATGTACAATATATGCGTAATTGTTACCAGTTTATATGTACCAGCACCACCAGCTAGTTTAAAAACGGTTCGTCTCCTTTAAATGCCTTGACGATGTTGCAGACAACAACCATCAGTCACTTTAAACCATCACCACTCAAACTACTAAAACTGCAGAATTCCTATCATCACATCACTATTGCCATTAACTTTACTTTTGGAATGGCAGCCGATCAAAAATTTCGCATAAGAGGAGGTGCACCTGATGAGGTTATCAGCACTTGATGAAATAAAACAATAAAACAATGGTTATAATAAATAAGTATGAGATTCAACTCGATTATAGAAATCTCACGTCCGAATAATGATGAGATTATGAAGCTGCATGAATAATGTTGTGACAACTATATATCTATCAAGGTACAGACATCCAATCTCATCAGATTCTTCCTGTAAAGTTGTGTCTATTTAGTTGTCTGGCTTTAATCAGATATTTTAAACAACCTGCATGTACAACATTACACCAGACAGACACAATTATTCACCTGTAATTGATAACTCAAAACTCAAAAAAATATTATTATTTCTGCTTACCTCCAGGATAATCGGGATATATTTCTTGATTATCATCCCTTGAACGTCGCCAGGAAGATGGTCGTCGATAGTTGGATACCACACTTTTTGACGGCATTATTATTATCTATTCAGTCAAAAATTTGTTATAATCAAATCCGTTTGTCGGGCATAATTCACCCTCCGTGATTGAAAAGTTGAAGGTTTCTTCGCTGCGAAAACTGTAAAGACGATAAAAATTCGGATCGTAAATTCGGGTTCGTTTCAAGCTGCGAATATTTGCATTTTTTAATTTGAGAACTGTATGAAGTCATAAAAATTAAAAATAATAATTTTATGTCTCCCTTATTGTTAAATAAGTCGAGATTGTTTAAATTTTATAATGGACGCATTCTCATTTTCTTTCATACATACATTCCGTTCCAATTTCCTGTTCAGCCCATTAAAACTTCTTACGTATCCAGAGCCAAGTTAACAAACGAGAATAATGGCGACATTATTACCATGCATAGTTAGCAAGCAAGCTTCACTAAACAAGAAATCCGATTCTTTTCCTTCCATACCGCACTAAATGAAAACTGTATTACTCAGCAAGTACATATTATGTATGCATATGTAAAATGGTGAATAATTATTATTTAGCATGGCATATGGCTTCATTTAAATTGTGAAACGATGTACTGTGCATTAATATGATAGCTAAATCCTGAGAAAAACATATTAAAAGGATTAAAAAATTATGACACCCATTGTAAATTAGCATCAAATTAAGAGTGAGATGGAAAACTCATGAAAAATGTAACCTCATGAAAAATTTAATTTTATGATCTCATTAATTACACAAAACTTTGGGTGGTTTATAATAAATAGCGTTTATAGCTCTGCTGCCAAATTTCGCAAACTACAGAATTTAACTTTGCTATGCAATTTGAGATTGAGATGAGATTCGACACTGGACAAAAGTTTGAGTCCAGAAGAAAGTGAAAGTTGTGGATGAGACGGAATAGAATTTTATGAGAAAAATACCAGACTAAAACCTGTGCTAAACTTCACCACGAACTCCGACTCTGGCTGAACTGCTGAACCACACATCTCGTGAGAGTCTGTCTTACGAGGAAAGTAAACACGAGAAATTATTAATTGCTGTTTAATCTGTAATTTGAAATTATAATTAAAATTGCATGGATTGCTTGGGATAAATTACACAGTCGAATTTACTTTGGGGGTAGACGTAACAACTTCATAGTCCAAGTAAGTGATCGACGATTCGATTCGAATCGTCTTGTCGACTATTTGTAGGATATTTAAATTTGAAAACTATTTATAAACCTAGTAAAAAGATGTAATATGTGCAGAGGTATCTTGGAATTTCGAAATACTAAAGTTTGGTTTATTTAATTACGTTGAAAATGTTAATTGCCAGTTGACATTAAAATTTACACTTGGTCAAAGTCAAAATTGTTTTTCACAATGTTAGTTTTTATAGCAATTCATCTATTAACAGATTTAGATTTCATATATTTAATGTTCTCAAAATATGATTATCTAATAGAAAAACATGATAATTAATAACCGTTTTTCGTTTAGTTGCCATCACTGGATTCATAATTCGGATTCTGCTTCTCTACGTTGTACTGACAGAGAATACGTTAACAAGAATGCAAATCAATATCAGCAAATAAAGCGGATGTGCAAAAATTAAAAAAACGGTGGTGATTTTTAATCAAGTGTTCGATCACCTCAAAAAGATCCAGTCAATAAAGTTGCAATTCGCAAGTTCCAGTGCAGTGGAACTGGCTCAAATTACAGGTGAGTTGAAATGAGAACGTAAAGAATTTGTTTTGCAAAATTTACTTTTTCCGGATATTTGATTCATCTCGAATGCGGTTCATCAATACCATTTCATTCCCCTTGATCAATAATTGATTATTTCTCCTTGTAGGTGCAAAGTGTAGTAGAAGTAGCGAGCAAAAATAATATCAAACCACCACACACACCACTACATATTCCAGAACATAGGACAACGTGGTCACCTGACTTTTTCGTAGAAAGGAAACGTCTCGTCAAAAACCCGACCCGAATTGAATCGCGGGTTTCGGTATTCATTCATCATAAATGGAGTAATTAGTCAGCTAGCCATGATGATGGGATAAGTCATTTATGTGGAAACGGGAAGAAAAGAATAAGACTCCCGTCGAAAAAGTGATGTAAAATACAGCCATATCCGGCTGCATTTTTGCCGATTATCAGAAAGGTATGTCACATACCTTTCTCTTTCTTTCAATTGGTACCACATACCGCATGTGATACCAATTGTAATACTGGCTCAACTAAATTTGTAATCTAATAATACATATAATACTTCATTATTGTTTTGTCAGATAAATTTCCCAAATCGCCAACTGAGAGAAACAATCGTCATGGCGGTGATACAACGAGCACTCTTGACGTGGTTTTTATCCCTCGTGTTCCTCATCCTGGTTTTTATCCGATTATCACAACCCACACAGTGGAACTGGTTCATCGTGTTTATTCCAATGTGGATATTCGACGGGACGGTACTCACCTACGCTGGATTTTATCTCGTCAGTCGTTGTAGAACAGAGCCTAGAAACTTGTGTAGTGCGTTCGTCGTGAGAAAACTACAGTTTGTCATAGTCATCGGACTTAAATTAACCCTACAAATTCTAATTTGTTGTAAGCTAGAGTTTCCTTCATGGAACTTGCCTTTGTACTACGTATTTATTCCATTATGGTGTATACTTTTGTTTCTCCTTGTGAATATTGTACACAGCCTGATTGAAATTTCCACTTCGCGACAGTTATCTCTCAAATTTTTTTCGAGTCAAAGAACATCTCCCGTTAGTCGGTAATTAGTGACAATATATAGCGTACTATCCAAATTATATTATACGGAAAGCTGAAACCAAGTAAATATGAAATGTAAAACACGCCTCAGAGTTGAAGAATTGTTTTTGACCACTCCAGAGAAGAGTAACAAGAGAAGCTCTAAGGAAATGCAGACTGTGATATTAACTGTAACTCGCATATTCGCGTTTCGATACATATATTGTGTAAGTCTCTTATCATAAATCTTAAATCGCAAATTGTTATACATTTATTTCCATTTTATAAGGTCCAATAAGTGTGTTTTGAATTATGGAGTAAAATAAAGACCGTTTACTTGGATGACGACAATTAACCAATTAATTAGTACACAGTTTTTATTATTATCAAAAATATTTATTTAGAATAGTAAAGTGAAGTAACCGGGCATTGAAGTTATCACAACTAATTTAGAACAATTAATTTAACACTCCATATTAAATCTTTCTAAATAAACATAAGTCATTTAGCTAAATAACGAGAAATTGCCTGAAAGAAAAACACAATATGCCATTAGAATTAATCCTAAGTCAGAAAATGTTTCCAAATTACTAAAAACACCTTTGTCGTTTACATTAATTCTTAACTCATGTCAAGTATGGTGAACGTAATCCAGACCTCCATTCAGTTTTTGCCGATTATTGTCATTTTTACTCGAGTAATTTGGACATTGACCATTTAACGATGCTTCAGTCTTAATTTTGCGACGAGTAATATTACGAAGTGTGTAGGCGTACTGTAACTTTGCCCAGACGCCTAAGCACATCCTGCGAAGCCGAGGGTCCACCCCTTCCGGTAATGATAAGGCATATCGATACTCGTTTTGTACCATGTGCTTGGCTGTTCGCAGTGCTCCCCTTTGAAGTAAGCTAATTGCAATGTACAGCCTAGGATATTTAAAAAAGTATGGCACAATATTATTTAAAATTTACACAAAAAAATGTTAATTTGTAATTATTTTCAATAGGTCTTACCGACACCTAGCTTCAATCAGTGGATCTCTCATCCTCCATGCAATCTTCATCTGCTTATAAGAAACCTCTGCTGCTTCTTGTGCCTATAATAAATTGAAATTAGTTAATAGCTTTTTAAATTAACAAAAGCCGGACAAGTAATTAGTCATACATAGTTGATAGAAAGGTCCCCTAAGGCAGAAAAGGCTCCACCTAAAGTTGACAGCCAGGATAATGCTGTTTCCAGTTCACACCGAACTGAGACGTAAGAATTTGAAAGCATACTCCTGAAATATACATCAATCAGATTAAGATTCATTACTAATTCATGTTTATCAATTTCATTACGTACCCTAGTTTGTCTATCACAAGAAGAGCCGAATATAAAATTACAAAGTTTACGTTGAGCGACAAATTCTTGCATTTCGATGATATGCATTCCGAATTTAATGATGGCGATGTGAACTTAAAGAACGTCATTATAAATCGACGTCTAAATTGTTTACAATTATTGATGTTTCCACTAATCCAAGCAAAACGTATCCCATCCAAGATTAGCTGGACACTGTGGTCGCATTTATCACTAGTAGAATCAACACGCTGGTCTTGTATAAAATCTGTAACCCTCGTGCATTTTCGTACCCGAACCTATAAAAGTAATCAAAGCAAGAATTAAGTATCCGAAAACATTGAGGATTAAAATATATATATACATTTCACTCACTTTCCATTTCGAAATAATTACCGACTCTCCCGACTCTACCAAACTGTTCAGCCGATTATGATTATGATTTGTTAAATCGTAGCAATCTTTCGTGGTACCAGGGTCTCGAGAATCGTTGCTCATAATAAAGTCCTAGACCTGAAAAACACAAATACAAAACAAAACATTACACAATCATTCCAACCTTCAGTTTTTCTAAACAATGAATAAATACCAACACACCCACCCAAAATAAGAACCAATGCTTTATAGTTATGATTCAATTGTTTCTTGATTTTACTGTAACGTTTATTCTACTGTTTTACTAATAATTTTCTAATTTTCAGGACCAGCCGGAACAAAATTTAGATTACAAATTTAGAGTATTCTGGTCGAAATGGTCACTAAAAAGAGGAGAAGGTAACGAATGAGAGAAGTCCACTCGAAGACATTGTCGTCTGCTTGCAATTTGCACAGTTTCGCTCACTCAAGTACAAACTTGCGGGGCAGATTGCACCGCAAAGTCAGCTTTCTCATTTTTGCGCTTTCTCCACTAATGACATGACCGCACTTTCTCCAGTGTCATTTTGGAACAGGACTGTTGTAGGAATGTAGTTTTTTTCGAAATTTGCTTATCATTTCATAAATTTTGGATAATTTCGTTAATTCAATATTTTCATTTCACATTTCCCCATTTTTATACAGTGTCAATTTCATGCTTGATACGAGACATTTAGTCTGGCTTTCCTTCAAGACTCTCTAATTTCTGGGTACTTGTCACCATTAAAATTAGTGGTGCTACATGTAATCTGATTTCATTCCTGGTCATAATAAGCGTGCATAATAGAATCGTGATGCTGAATATGCTTGTTATCGCTTACTGAGTTTCATGAAACTGCAATTCGACACCACTGCTAAATTACCAGCTCCATGAAAAGTGACGATTACGAACGATTAGACAATGCAATTTATTGGAACACTATGCGAGAAGTCAAGTAATACAAGAAATGCACAAGAAATTCAATGAAATAATGCCTACATGCCAAGACAGTGGTGACGATGGGCGGATGGTGGTTTGAATAAGACATTGTAATAAAAAAGCCAACATGAGAGTAGCGTGCCTTGACTTCGCCTCACCGGGGTTTTGCGGAGGAGTCAACTAACACAAAGTGAGGATAATGCTTGCGAATGTTAGCCACCCCCGAGAATCCGAAGTGAGTTGCTTTGCTAGCTTCGTGCTAATATACGCGAATGCCTTACATAACAATATGTACCAGCAGTGAAGGAGTTGGCAAAAAGCTTGTTGGGCAAAAACCAGAGCAAAAACTGAGTCAGTAGAGCAGAGCTGTCGTATTCGCTTGCTCCTTGGGTCAAAACGACCCCAACTGCGCATCGCGACCGGGTAGAAGCTTGTGCGAATATACATAGCCAACAAATAGAGAAACCTAGAATACCCGATGATGATGTGCCACAATCTGCGAGAGGATTAATACTGACTTGAAGAAATCGTGGTACATACGACAAGACAAGACCCTGGATTCCCCTCGGAAAAACTGCTGTTGTCCTCTTTCTCAGTTCTCAGCCAGTGCAAACATTAATTTTTTTGCAATACCCGGAATTTTCTGAATCTGTGTCACAAAAGTGGTGAGCTCTGTGTCTCTGTCCGAGTGGGATATCCTCAGGAAAAAGGGTTCGACTGTCATCCAATTCTTTAAGCAGGTAAAATTTATATGGAATTCTTATTACACAAAAGTTTGCCTTGTTTTTCTTAAAATTGCAAATGAGTCGGCCAGAATTATCTTTCCGAAACCGGACACAAGCAGTTGTTCCTAAAAATAATCTATCTTGAAATTTAGCTTGGTATGTTGCTACCTGGTGGAAATTATTGCTCTTATTTAATTAGTATGCATTAGTCACAAGGTTTTAGGTACAGTGTGATAGGAGATGGTGATTAGTCGTTTGTTACAGCGAGAATAAATCCAGTCTTGTCAACGTCTCTCTTTTGTGGGAGTTGGAGCTTGAGAGGAGAACATTTTACGGTATTATAACATAGTCTCAATTTCCTCACTCCACTCGATCTTCAGACATGAGATACACAGCAAATTAAGGTTAGGAACATATTGATCGCTAGTTGGAGAGATTGTATTTCATGTTCATCCTCGGTTTTATAACGTTGCCTAAAAGTCTAATCAACTTGACTTGTGTGTCATGTGCCTGGAAATTGGAATTATATAACGCAGATATTTATTTAATGGATAATGGGGAGCGTGGTGGTGATAATGATTTTGTACCTTTTTTAATTTCAGAATCTGTGCATACAAGAACTTGTGACCGTTCGAGAAACGAAAGCTAATTAAAAAACATTGCTATAATCGTCTTGTTACACGATTGGGGATTTGTTGCCAAAACCGGTTTTAGTAATTGCAGCCTGCATTTGACGCAACTTTGTCAAGGACGCTAAATTAAAAATAACCTTCAACTTCATGTACACGAACGATATCAAATAGTAGAATTGTAATAGTATTACGTTACATTTTAAGATATCATAAATTCTAGTCACACATTCCTCTCGATTTTGAAATCCTTGTTTTTAAATTCGCCATCAATGGCCGGATTTCGGTTCGTTTTTGGAAAAAACTTGCTATTTGATCCAAAATTTAATTCGACACGAAATCTAAATCTGACCTTGCTCGGTCTCAACCATTCCTCACCCTACGCGACTACAACCAAAAGTTCACCACTTCTTTGCACCGCGAATGGAGTCACTAAGCATAGTTTTCTTGTACGAAATGCATCCACAACGACGACGACAACACCACCACCGGTCCTTGCGGGGACTGGAGTTGGAGATAAGCCTCAGCAAGAACCTTACAAAATGAAAATTCGGGATACGCTCGACTTGACCTTCAGCGATGCGAGACAGGCGTACAGGTCAAAATCCACATGGGAAATCCTCCGAGCCTACATTGTCTTTAAGCTTTGTTCCATCAATTACCTGGTTGAACACAATGATAAGGTAAGCGTACTACACTTTTTTATGGTCATGATTTAAGAAATACAATTCGTATAACACTTTAAAAATGATTCCAGTTGATGAAGCTGGGACAGAAAGTGCTTGGAAAAACTATATTCGAAAAGATGATGGAAGCAACGTTTTATGGCCATTTTGTCGCTGGACCGGATCAAATTGCCATTCAGCCAAGAATCCAGCACTTGAGAGAGCATGGAGTCAAGGCCATTTTGGATTATTCCGTGGAGGAAGATATTTCAGATGAGGAAGCCAAGAAATCTGATTCAGTGTAAGTTCATGAAAATCAAAATATTCATGAAAACTGGTGACTTAATGTACATATGTTTTTTAGATCTAGTCAAAAAGTTGGTGGTAGCAAGGGAAGTTCTGATCAAAGTGGTGAGAGACTAAATACATATTTAGTTACATAATCATAATGTAATATTTCATGAACTTAAGTTATGTGACCTGTCTTTAATGCTGCCATGTAAGATGGAACAGTAGGTATAGGCTTTTTTTCGTATTTGGAGACTGTGTGTGATCAATAATAATAACTTATGCAAGTGATGAAATATTGGGAAATTTAACCAATAATTAATGTTTCTAGAATATACAAAGTATCAAGAGGGAACCAGCAACAGGCGAATGAAGGCTGCTGCACGAACGTATTTTTATATGAACGAAGCCCAGTGTGAACGCAACATGGAAACATTTCTTCAATCCATTGAAGCAGTTTCAGGTATGCATAATTGTTTATTCTCGGTTAATTACTATTAAAACAAAGATGATTCTAATTGTTCACTATTTTCAAAGGAGCCACAAAAGGTGCTGGGTTTGCTGCAATAAAGGTCACAGCGCTTGGAAGGCCGCAATTATTGGTCAGTTAAGTTGTTAACTATATTTTCGAAAATTAATCCAATTTATGCATCAATTTTTTTGTCCTTTCATATCACAGCTCCAACTCTCCGAAGCAATTGCACGAGTCCATCGATACGTGGGGACTTTCACCGGGAAGAGAGGCGTAGTTATGGAGCAGAACGTTAAAGTCGAGGACATCAAGCGTCGCCTGGAGCGTGCATCTAAATCTGACCCCACGGTGGAGTCTTGGCTGAATAACATGACCTACGACAAAAGCGGGTAAGGGTTTCAGGGCGAAATTTATAATGAGTGAAAATCAATGTGGTGATTCGACAGGTATTAATCTGATTCGAACAGTCTAATCCACGTTTTGCCCTGGCAAGGGGTCGTCGAAGCACAACAGACGTTGAAGGAAGCCCTCAAGGTTCCTGACGTGTCGACCGGAAAAATGGAAAGTCTCGTCCCTCCCTTGAGTGACCACGAGGAAGAAATGTTCAAAAACATGATGAGAAGGCTTCATACCATTTTCAAAGTACAGATATACATACACAACTTCTTCCCATGCTGATTTATATATAAATCGATATCTATAATTTAATAACTTTGCATACTTTATTATACAGACTGCGAAGAAATTAGACGTGCGAGTTATGGTTGATGCTGAACAAAGTTACTTTCAGCCCGCAATTTCTCGCCTGGCTATGGAAATGAGTCGTATTTATAACACGGAAAAAGCAATAGTGTTCAATACTTATCAATGCTATTTGAAGGAGGCTCATCATAACTTGTCTGCTGATTTGGACCAAGCAGAGCGTCAAAATTTCTTCTTTGGGGCTAAACTGGTCAGGGGTGCGTATATGGAACAGGTAACTTAATCTGTATGGCAGTAACTCGTACAAATAATAAATGGCTGAGTGATTCGACTCCTTTGACTTGATTTATGTAGGAACGTCAACGAGCCGCTGAAATGGGATACGAAGATCCAATCAATCCAAATTTTGAAGCCACGACTGAAATGTACCAAAGAAATGTCAATGAAGCCATGACAAGGATTAAACGCATGAAGGAAATCGGAGACCCAAAGAAGATTTGTATCATGATGGCCACTCATAACGAGGATACTGTTCGTTTCGTGATTAAAAAGTATGCAAGTGCTCTTCTCGATGATTTATTTTATTTAACTGCCGTGAAATTTAGCTTAAAAATATCTTCATGAAATACAGTATGAAAGAATATGGAATCAAGCGATCTGATCGACTAATTTGCTTCGGACAATTGTATGGAATGTGCGATCAAGTGTCATTTCCATTGGGTAAGCTACACAAACACCATCTCCAGAAATGTACATAATCACTTATAAATTCAACTGATTATTAATGACCACAGGGCAATCGGGGTACTCGGTTTACAAATATGTTCCCTACGGACCAGTGACTGAGGTTCTGCCCTATTTGTCTCGCCGTGCTCAAGAGAATCGTGGCTTCCTCAAGAAAATAAAGAAGGAAACTACTCTGTTACGAAAGGAATTCGCCAGGCGTTTAATGAAAGGTCAACTGTTTTATCGTCCGAAAGGCCACTACGAACCCTTGTAATTGTAATATCTCAATCCCCGAGATCTGATATTTATATAACAACTAATATTTATATAGAAATTTGTGCAGACAATCCGAATGTCTCTCCTTAAATTGATACTCAATTTTCTCGTGTCACGATATGCCATCTACTTTAATTAGTAGCGTATCATACGTACATATTTACTATTTAGATTGTTTACTTTGTTCAGATTTCAAAAAATTTGAACTATTGGACTGTCCTCACATAGTAAATATTTCTCGTAGCAGTATTGCTTTAGTCGTGTGGCATGACGGTAATATTCAACGGCCATTTTTAGCTGTCCAATTTTTAATTCTCAAATTTCTTTTATTCTCAAACCTTTTTTAAAATTTTAAACCCTGGAGACAAGTCCAAATCATTTTAAGCATTTCTCACCGTGGAGTTGAGTTATCCTTTTTAATTCATTTCTGCTGTGCCGTGGATTTTAACTGAAATCTGTTCCACATTGCAACAATAATGTCAGACTATAATTAATTTAATGATGTACATCGTAACAAGTATCTGCGGAATTATTACTAGATATGTAATTAGTTGGAGTCAAATGTGATTGATGTAAATTGAAAAGAAATCTATTTATTCTCCATCGTCGTTCTGAAGCCTAGTGTGATACTACAGAAATATAAAAAAATAGAAAAAAGTGTAGGGCCATGTAAAATATAAGAAAAATCTATTTAGCATTGTGGACACTTGTGTATTTAAGTAATGTCTATTTGTAACTATTTTATCTTTCTCCTTATTTAAAACTTTGGTTTGTGACGTGTCAAATTTTGTAGATCAAGTAAATGAGCAACTTTGGTGTGTGAATTTTCATAAATGCTATTTTATGTTGTATGCATACAAAAAATAAGAAATATATAAATATGTATGTGGATAAATAAAGTCTATTGCTCGTCACAGACTTGAACCGAATTTTTGTTTGTCTGAATTGACCTTGATTGACAATAATTAGTTTACAGAAACAAATAACTCTTGGACAACGCTTAGATTGAGGACCCATTTCGAAAAATTCACGTTTCCAAGTTGCGAATGAACAAAAAACAATTAGTTTATTTCATACATGTTTCAATTAATAAATCATTATAAATCGCTATTCCATACACCGAACAAACAAAGAAGTCATGGAATTTTTTGAGCTCGCTTATAGTTAAGTCCTAAAAACAATGATGCTTATCATCTTCAACATACCAAATGTATTGTTGAACTTGCACCTGCATGGCTGTTCACTTACTTTTTTGCTCAAAATAGACTTGACGGAAAGGCCAGGCTAATAAATTTCCATATAAACAATTTCCTGCAATCACCAAATCCTGTCATTGTGTAACTTTACTTCCATATTCTAGCATATTTTTTTACGCCACTTTCATAAGTAAATTGAAGTAAATGCTTAAAACTGGACTTCGTATTGCTGCAAGTAATTTGTCGAAAGATATAATCATGTCACATTTTGAAACGCATTTTTAATTCCTTCCATAGCATGTCACGTTCCTCTCTGGCACCCATCATCACGGACCGATTTTCCGATGCTCTCCTGGCCAAATATGGCAACACTTTGACAATAGGTCCGTACGGCGTTGACTTGTACACGTGGTAGTTCTTGCTCACTGAAATGTTTAAAATATTTTGTCATTCTTCATTCATATAGAGTGGTTAGCACTGAAATAATATTGTGGTCATTATTCACACCTAATGGAGTACTAAGGTAATCTGCCATTCCATAAATTTGAGCAAATGACACTCTGTCATCATTGGCAGATATTTCATAATCTTTCATGGCCTGCGCAGCTAATCGGATTGACACCTCGTTATGAGATGCAACCAACAGATGCGACTTTTTCTTTGGATTTTGAGACAAATTTTTCAATACAGTTTTCACAGCTCTATAAATTAAAAACAATCAAATATTATAAATAGGCTGAGTCAAATTAAGTTGTTGTTAAATGTGTGAATCGCACTTATTATAGGAAATGTTGGTAGCTTCGTAGGTATCGCAAACGGGTGAAATGTAGCCGTTCTTATCTGCTAGATATCTTTCCCTGTCCATGTAAGCACCACGCACAATTTTCCCGTACCAGTTGACACCGATGTCCTCAGTGACAGTTTTAAGTTCGGACTCAATCGTTTGGACAGCATCCTGGTTTCGAACATTAGACAATATAATATTTCTGCATGATTACTGTCTGGTCTATTTTTTCTTATTAAATACTTTTAGATAGGCTTGAATCGTGTTTCCCACGTGGTGATAGTCCCCATTATGACGTGCCATTAGGATCAAAGCTATGGCCGATATTGCTGGTTTGCAAGAGTAGAATTCTGCGTCAACGAGGACATGAACTTTCAAGTCTCGGCAGTGTTTAACTGGGGAAGTAAATAAAAATGAATTACAAACACATCCCAAAAATAATTCATATTGTTTTCGGATTACCAAAAACATCTGCCCTCTGTAATCCATCCAAGAATTGACTTTTGTCCTCATTAGACAGTTTCAATTCAAGGTTTTTCGGATGTTCAATGCAATTTGCAAGTTGCGAAATCAGCGTTGCATGTGTTACTTTTTTGTCCTCTAAATATTGAGTCATGGCTTTGGACACTTTCTCCTAAAATTTAAAATTTCTTTATTGAATTATTGAATGTCTCACATAAATAGATAAATATTTTCGAACCAATGTTATCGCAGGCATGATTGCGGTTGGTTTTAGTTGAATGATTGGCTTCTTTTTCTCAAGAGCTGAAGTCATGTTGGCCAAATTCAGTAAGCTTTGCAAATTATCGTCGTATGTTTTCCTAATTGCAGAACAGCAATTAATTCAATGCATACATGACGTATTTTTTCCGAGGGAGGGGAGAGGAGAATATATTATGAATTACTGTGAGGATTGTTCGTCCTCGATATCTTCCTCCAAGACGGGGGCCACCATGAGGACGAGACCGCGTCGTTGCATGGATTCCACAGTCAGTTTCATTCCTGGCAGAGTGTCGCCTCCCACAAATTGGTTGAAAAATGTTTTTCGTAAACCCCATTCTCCAAGCGGTCCAAATTTTGTGGATATATTAAATAACTATAATTGAAAACTCGTTATGAAAAATTCATAAAAAAAACAATCTAGGATTAGTAATGTCAGACCTGTATGCTTCTTGAGACGACAAAATCATAAGAACACGTCCTAAAAAATTAAATTAATCAAACTTATTAAGCACTTATGGGAAATATGTCAAGTTGAGATAGCTGATGTGAACACTACGGAGAGGCAAATTGAGACAACACAATGATAAACTTTAGCCGTATAAGTATGACCAAACGTACATAGGTTTTGCATTGAAAAGATCTTTTATCATACCTCAAGACAAAGAGGGCTCTCATAATGTCCGGAGTTGATAAGTGAGACAAAAGACCAGGTTTATATGAACCGATTGCAATCCAGGAAGCGAACTGATTTCGTATTTGACCAATTGATGCACTTGTTGGAGTCACAAATTCGGCTTTTAAAGGTATTTTTGAATGATTTGCAGCAGTAGATGTACAGAATAGTGCTCGATTCCATGGTGCAAACAGTGGATTACAAACTTTTTTGCACAGTCTCATTTATATTTTCAGTTTTTGAAGTTTTACAATGTAATGAAATGTGGAAGTATGTTATTTTTCAGCGTGTATGGCTCTAATACTTTTTCCGAACTATTGATTCTGTTTACACACACATGTGCTATGCTTAACTGGTAGTGCATAAATGCAAGAAAACCAGAACACCTTGAATTTAACAGCCCACATTAGCATTTTATTGAATTATGGACAACTTGATAACAAGAAAAACTAGTTCTGTATGTGCTGGAAAAGTGCATTTCAAGTAACCAAGTACATCTCGCCAAACTTTACTGAGCTTTATGTTACATTTAACCAATACATTTTGATTATATTGTGCTTTTGATTCGTACCCAACTACCCACCGAAATTTTTGACACGAAGAAAATACCTTAAAAAATAAGTGATTTCATGATTTAACATATACAAAAAAAATATACTTCATTTTTGAAATAATATTTTCACACGTTCATCAGACACTGAACTTGATTTTTTAATTTTGTCATTAATTATGCATCATACTCCGCATATGAAACTTCATCATTTTGAAATATTAAAAATTTCCAGAATGAAAAAGTCATAAAAACCTTCAAAACGCAGTGAAACATGTAAAAACCTATCCAACACCAAAAAGAAAGTAAGAACGGAAGAAGAAAGCACGAAAAGTGGGCGTGTGAAAAAGAAAGTTTACTCATGCAAACAAAGTGTGACGCGAGGAATGAGTCACCTTCTCAGCCGAGTCAGCCATCGAATTGATACCAAATAAAGGCATGATAATTCCTCTCCTGATTGCAAATCAGACCGAGTAACAATAATTAACGATTGCATCCATACCTAACTAACTAATATGCTGATGATGAGTATCAATAGATGATGAGCACATACATAAGTGTGAATCATTTTTGGGCAGAGAAGAGGCGATTGCATGGGATTCAGTGGGGTAGGAGAGAGGTTGGCTCTGCTGGCGGTGGCTATTTCATGCCCGGTGCCTCTTTCCCTACGCCACTTTCAGCTATTTAGAGATTCAATCCGACGTTCTCATTTCCTGCTGTTTTTTTAACTCGCTGGTGGACCATTTAATTGTGTAGGAGTGGTGGTGGCGAATATTTTCTTACAAAAAAGTCGTAACAAAGTCTGAATAAACTCGAGAAGAATGTCGTCCTACAATTGTCGTAAGTTCTTTGCTTTCCTTTACAAATGGTGGGTTGATGACCGGCCGGTGTAATTAATTGAAAGGAAAAGTGATTAAAGTGTGATGGTGGTTTAATAGAACTTGATCATTTTGTTTGCAGGAAGTATTTTTGCTACTCTGCCCAGAACCCAGCGTGGAAACCCGATCGTTTTAGGGGGTGACCCGAAGGGGAAAAATTTCCTATACGCCAACGGAAACAGTGTTGTTATACGAAATATTGAGGTGGGTGAACGCTGAGGTTGACCGGAAGTGATCAGATTATTAGCATTTCGGGTTTAATACTAATATTTACGTGTAATTTGATAATCTAGGATCCGGCCGTGTCAGATATTTACACGGAACATTGCGTTGCTGTCAATGTCGCCAAATATTCGCCAAGTGGATTTTACATTGCATCTGCAGGTTGTTTATCCGTGATTTTTTTTGTATATGTGTAAAAAACTTTAAGAAATAATTTTATTTATTCATTCTTATTGTATGGAATGCAGATCAGTCTGGGAAAATTCGCCTTTGGGACACCGTCAATAAGGAGCATATTTTAAAAGCAGAGTATCAGCCGTTCGGAGGTCCAATTAAGGATGTGGCTTGGTCTCCGGACAGTCAGAGAATTGTCGTCGTTGGAGAGGGTCGGGAAAGGTATGTGATTGTGTTGTTGTTCTTTAAATTTTTGATAACGATTGTGTAATTCTTTTTAAAGATTTGGACATGTGTTCATGGCTGATACGGGAACTTCAGTTGGAGAGATTTCCGGTCAGTCCAAACCTATCAACTCTTGTGACTTTAAACCATCTCGTCCGTTCCGTATTATTACTGGTAGTGAAGATAACACTATCGGGATTTACGAGGGACCACCATTCAAGTTCAAAATGACTAAAACAGTATGTTAAGTTACCATTATACAACATTAAGGTACTGCGATCCATTTGATAATTGAATTTGTGTGCATATTTGCGTTAGGACCATGGGAGATTCGTCCAAGCCGTGAGGTACAGTCCTGACGGAGAAAAATTTGCCTCTGGGGGATTTGATGGGAAAGTATTTTTGTACAATTCTAAAGACTCTGACTTAATTGGCGAGGTTGGATCGCCAGCTCATAACGGTGGAGTTTACGGGGTATGTTTCTCTAACAAGTCTCTATACGTAATTAACGTATGTGCCTGTTATTCTGTACGGTTATCGAATTTTTACATAGGTGGCCTTCAGCCCAGATGGCAAGAAATTGTTGACTGCTTCTGGTGATAAGACATGCCGCTTGTGGGACGTTGAAAGCAGAGAAATGATTTCTGAGTTCCCAATGGGTAACCAAGTTGAGGATCAGCAGGTAAGCAATTCTTCTTATATAAAGTTTAATAAAATAAACACGCAGATTAATTTGAATATAAATTGTGTAGGTATCGTGTTTGTGGCAAGGCGAACATGCCATCACGGTATCGTTGAGTGGATTCATTACGTATTTGGATATTAATAATCCTGCTAAACCACTTCGAATCATCAAGGTATAGTATTTCGATTACACGTTTGTCCTCGCAATTTATGCAATAATGCAATTATCGCACAGGGGCACAACAAACCCATTACCGTCATGTGCCTGAATGACGATCGCACCAAAATATTCACCGGTTCTCATGATGGATTTGTCACTTACTGGGACGCAAAAACTGGTGTCAACGATAGAATAAGCGGTACTGGACATGGGAACCAAATCAACGGTATGAAAATCGTCGGCAACATCCTTTACACGTGCGGAATCGACGACAACCTTCGTCTGGCAGATTTAGGGACGTTTGCATATACGAATGTTAATGACGTAAAATTAGGATCCCAGCCTCGCGGGATGGATATTAGTGGCAACAAGGTTATTATTGCTACCGTTAAGGAAGTAAGTGTTGAAGTGAACAATTATTAAATACATTAAAACATTTAGTCAATCCAAAAAAATTAATTGATATTCTTTTCCTTGTGCTGTGAAGTTGCTTATTTTGGAAGACGGCAAGAAAGTTGGATCCTGTTCTACACAGTATGAACCTTCCAGTCTTTCCATCAACCCAGTATCTGGGGATATTGCTGTTGGTGGATCGATGGACAATAAGGTATTCATATATTCTTGAATTAATATTGTACCATGATTGTTGGTTTGTAACGTCAATTTTCTGTTTTTTTACCTTTACAGACACATATTTACATGCTAACGGGGACATCATTCTCTACGAAAGCCGAAATGGACCACTTAGGGCCTGTTACCGATGTTTCCTATTCTCCCGATGGAAACTATTTGGCTGCATCTGATGGTCATCGGAAAGTCATGTTGTATTCTACATCAACATACGAGGTAATTAATTGAAAATATCCACTGTTTTTTTAACTTATGTACAGCAAACCAATGCAATGTAACACATGTATGAACTTGCTCCTTAGTTGGCTCACTCCAAAGAATGGGGTTTCCACAGTGCAAAAGTAAATTGTGTCGCATGGTCACCTGATTCAAAGTTGGTAGCCAGTGGAAGTTTGGACTGCACCGTAATTGTGTGGAGTGTAGAACAACCAGCAAAACACCTTGTTATCAAAAGTATGCTTTTCTTGGAACTTTAATTTCACAAAATTAATTTCAATATTGAATGCGATGTGTATCTATTTTCTCCAGACGCTCATCCTCAAAGCCAGATTACACGTTTGGCCTGGTTGGACAACAATTCCATCGTCTCCACAGGCCAAGATGCAAACGTCAAGATTTGGGAGGTGTCTGGATTTCCAAATTAATCAACAACGTACATACAATAATACTCCGGTATCATACTGGACCACAAACCCACCAGTGGCTTCACCCTTTATTCAGTACTTTTCACTCAAATGCTTTAATGCACGAATTATCATGTATCACCTTCTCGGTAGTCACTTATCCGAGGAAGTTTAACTGCTGTAAAAAAAGGTCTAGTATTGGCCTAACTATTTATGAAGAACTACAGATTTTCTATCTTGCAATTTCGTTGGAGGCACTACTATTGTTTATTATTGTGGAGATGGGGTTCTGCTCGAGTCATTATTACAATTTTTTTCTCTGCACTTGAAGTATTCTAAGCATTTCCCTCCCTTGATAGCAATAATAATGATAACAATAATATTTAACTACAATTCCCGGTGAATCAAGTTCACTATTACTACACACTACCATAATTTATTTTATAATGTAGTTATAATCTAACTATATTTCTGATATTTTCAAACCAAATTGTTTAATACTTCAGATTCAACTCTCACAATATTCACCAACCCACAGGTATGAGCTGGCTCAAAGTAATATCACCTTAATAATTTAAACACTCTCTGAACTGGTCTTCCAATTAGATAAATCTGCCTGGACATTGATTTTCATTTTATGAAAATTTTGGCTTCCAAAGATCATAGTAATAATAATCTCTGGCCAAATTCCGTTGTTGTGTTACCGATTAAGTGCTAAACAGATTCCACTAACTAATATACGTTCGTGTAATAAATCGTGTGTGCAAATAATCTGACTAAATTACAAAAAATGGTTTTTGTGTTTGGACTAAGTTATTATTTACATGTAGATCACATTATGTATGTTATTATGACATGGGTGTCTTTATTGAAAACTATAAATAAATAAATAAATATATGCAGGAAGGATTACGAAATGATTTTGAAAATCAATTTATTCAAGGAAAACATTTATCAGAAATTGGCATTTTAATAATCTTAGCTTTCTGCAGTGAAGGTAAATTTTTTCACTTCGTCGTAACGAAAAATATTACTGCTCCTTTTCGCCTGTTACATATGTACATCTGTCTGAGTTTCCAAATGAGTTTACCGAACCATGTTTCATAAAGTGTTGCATGATGTTTGATGTTCATAACTCATTCTTTAAAATTCTATTTGTCACTGTTCAATATTGCGAAAACAGCAACATTTGTCATTACTCAAAGTGTAGGTCACAAAGTCGCCAAATAATTTTATTCAAACATAATTTTGTTCAACAACAGGTACGATGCAGTTAATGGTTAGGCTAGACATCTTCTAGAACAAAGAAGAATTTGAATTTTATCAGTGCTGGACAAAAACAAGTCCACAATAAAAATCAGCACAATGACGACGGAGTGTAAAACCTCGCCCTATCCGCGATCGACATTTCAAGGTTACATTCTTACATTTGCATTTCCGCAAAGTGACAAGCAAATGATGTTGCACCTTTTTTTGGACAAATTAACAGAGAAAAATTACAATTTCAGACATGTACGCATTATTATTTGATTTTTGTCATTCTTGCAAAATCAGTGTCTTGGAATTGATTTGAGATAGCTGAATGGTTAACGAAATGGCTGAATTATTCATAAAATTGGAAAGCATAATTTATCATTGGTTTCCATATTTTGCGAGGTATCACACTCAAGTAAAAAGAAAGCCGGAGTGTACTGTATTCCAAAATTGTTCCCAGCAGTCAAATATTTTCATAAATCCAATAAATCATGCTGAGAGATTATTACCATAATATAGACTACCTACATATATGCTTTACCCGCCTGCTATACAAGTATTAAAAAAATTCAAGTATTAAAAAAAATACTTGTATGCAATAGCTCAGTTTTATGACCAGTTTAACACTGAAAATAATGTTATGTAAAATAAATCTGGGTAAGTGAGACGATTACATGGTCAGAAATACCGTATGAGTGTAACTTAATTTTGTGTTACATAAAAGGTTCAAATGTAAAGCTCAAATTCTAAGCGATTTTGTATTGAGAAATGAAATCAGTTTATTATTCAATTAAAATAATCAGATACGTACGTACGTATGTAGACATTCATACGTATAACGTAACCAGATATATTTTTACGAGCAATCAATAGGCACTCAAATTTGTTACGTCATAACATCATTGAAGAAGCAATGTACGATCTTCAAACGAATTATTTTTCATTCAGTGGAGGAAAAGAATGCACCAATCTCGAAGTTGTAAGTCTTCTTTCTATTCTTTTTGTTGAAATTTGCGTCAAAAACTAAAGTCCATCCTAAAATTTATTGGGTTTTTCTCTCCTGATTCCCCTCGTCGCATATTAATGCCATGCAATTGATGTCACACAAACCCACGCCTCAGTGAAATAGCAATTTTTAGGTTTTAGTTTGAGACGATCTTGCACGTCAAGTATTCACGGGCTTCGTGTACTACGTATGTCATATTTTCTGAGAATGCCAATTACATTCGGATATCGAACCTCGGTTCACTTATCTGACGCCACATTCTCCAAAAAGCTATATCATATGCCGCTAGTGAACAGTTATATAGTCGCTAAAATAATAATTGGCTGGTTTAACACTACCTAAACTTCAAGGTAACGTAGAAGCTAACAGTAGTAAAAAAGCAGAAATTTATTTGAATTGTCACGAAAATATTTCAAGAAATTGACACTCGCACCGAATATGCTGCGAGTATTCTGTCGTTTATTACAACGAATCCATATTTATGCTTATCCTTGCAGCACGAGCATATTTTTTTATAGAAAACCTTTTAGCATTGTGGTGGAGGGAGGAGCAAAGTGTCGACTAACAATGATGATGAAAACATAAACTGCTGTGTATATATGATTGACGTATTATCAAAAAAATCGTACAACGGAAAAGTAGAAAATTCTGCCAATATTTGTATAGCTCAAGGGCACCTCTGGTTTTAGGATTAGCACGTGCCTATCCAGAAATCAGTGTAAATATATTTGAATAAATAGCATTTTTAAGTTAATGGAGATTTCTGAAATACAAATACGCTTTGAGGCTAACTTATCAGGATAATAAGAAGCCATACTTGGTGTACGTTGGCGTTACTAAATACATTCAAACTACACCGATTTAAATTCAATTGTACAATTTCACAAACCCAGGACAACTGAATATTCGATTGGAATATTCGAATATTTGTAACTAAAAGTTGCCAGGAGAAATATGTATTTTCTCACCAGTGCTGTAGTCAGAAGCTTTTGAAGTTTCTTTGTTGTATTTGCATAGTATATATTTAGACGTTCTCCTGCAGCTAACGTCAACTCGTAATTGTGAAATTCGCCACCTCACGCGCTAAGTGACATTAAAAAGACCATGTACGATCTATGTATTAGCATATTACTACGTCCACGAGTAGTTGATATTCCGACCGAGTTCACAGAACTAAACTGTCTGTCTGGTGTAAAATTATGTGTACAATTCGACTTGTCATTGATTTTAAATATTAAATTTCCGTTTCTCGCTTGGTATTACGGGTAAGATTTAGTTTTGGTAAAGGTGGTCTGTTTGAGAAGTTTCGCAATTTCATATATGCACGAGCTCAATTTTCATCTGTGTTTCCTCTTTCTCTCCATTATCATACCTATTTTTGACAGTTACAAATTTCCAGTTAAATGTTGGCTAACAAGGCATTTTTATTGGTGGGGTAACAGCTCTGTGGTTTCAATTGTCAATTATTTGCTAGTTTCTTTTTCATCGCCTTGAACGGACCTCTATCGCCGAGATCGCTTGCTAACATTGCTCGTGTCGGATAACTTGTATTTATTATTGGCATAGCAGGCATGACATTATTGAACATTTAGACGGCCTCTTTCTATCCTATACAATAATGAACGATGTGGATGGTGAACTGTGACAATGACGCCGTATGACACAAAGTTACCTACACGATTACACTATACATATATTTGAAATTAAAATTAGGGCTACTAAATACAATATTTATAATCTTACTTTGATCCCATCCCATTGGTCAGGTTGCATAAAATTGGTTGGCAACACCTGAAATTTTTATAAGGAAATTGATGCATCATGAGACGCAGCTAATTACGTAAGAAGTAAAGAAAATGACTTGTCGAGCTATGTATATCAAGTCTACACTGAACGTTTTCACATCTTTTGCTGTCAACTGCATGTCATTATCTCAAGAAGAATTGTTTCAAAACTTGTGTCATGTAAATTGAAGGACAACTGTAACAGCAAGTTTCGATCAAAATTCAATAAATATTCCTGCCAATATTACCATACGTACATCGTCATTTTATTTTAAAAAACTCTGTACGACGCAATATTTATTTAGGAAACAACAACAGCGATATTTTCTCATTGGGATGGAGCGTCTCAAGATTCAAGATTCAAGATTTAATCTAGAACAATGGTTGATATGAATAAAAAGTATTGAGCATTGCATTGTAAAAATACCGAAATATGCAAAGTGAAAGTATACTAAAAATTTTACACGGAAAATATGTCAATCACAAAGTAAAGGCAGAAATAAATATACAAAAAAATTGCCAAAAATGGCTCAAGTTAAAACGTAGGCCTTGGAACTCGGGACACAAGAATAATTTTACGGTTTTAACAACCGTATTTCCAAAGTTTTTACCTCGGACCATTTACATATATCAAACATTAATTTTTGGTTAATGGTCATGGAAATTTAAGTATATACTTTTAATAAAAAACATTTTCTAATTTGTGTATTTATACCAAGGCTACCTTTCACTTGGCCAAGTAACTCATTTACTAGTTTTTATTCATACTAGCCAATGTCGTATCAAAATATATTAAAAGTTCAGAGAAATTCAAACATTATCTTTGACGAATCAGAACTCAAACATATCGTGGACACTTTTCCAGACCAGAGAATGATTCTTATCATCTCTTTATTCCACATAATTCGATACAAAAATAATTCCACAAAAACAAAAAGAGCGATTTGTTATAGGTTTATCTCACGCCCGTCAATCAACATCAAGAGACGTTAAATATTGGTGCTTGTTTATACATTGAAGTAAATTTGTTGATGAGGATTTTTCTAAGAACGAGTGTAATTCGCACTTTTTCAATCCAAGGAGAGAGACCAGAATTTGTCCTTAATGTAATTTTGTCTGTCTTCTTCGTATTTTTGGAATGCGTCCACACAAATGAAATGGTACACAGATATAATTTCATGCGAAAACAGCGAAAACAATTTCCCTATTTGCTTCCGATACGAGATTAAATCGCAGAGAAAGAAGCCCAAAAAGAAGTGTTTGATGGGAGGAAAGTCAGACATTTGATCTACAATGTAAATTGAGTGAGTGGGTAGTTAAGCATTATAATGGAACGCCACATGGATGGAATCCTTTGAGTGCGGATAACAATTACTGGCTGTAATTGTCATCTGCAATACATTTTATTGTTAAACTCCCACTAGTTACATTAATAAGGTCAATAGTAATTTCCGTCGGTCGACTCCAGCGTAATGATAAAAACTGTCCAGTTGTTTGGCTTCATCTGCATAATTTATTTCCTGTGTCTGAATCTGTTTTGTTCAAATTTCTGGTGCGTGTGGCATTGATTAAAGTTCGAGAACATGGTGGAGTGGGAGTTCAGATCCTGGTAAAAAAAATACCTGAGGCAAACTTTATAAATTTATTTGTAGTTGTTGAAATAGGGAGTGCATGGAAAGTGAAAGAAATAATTTACAGCCATCTACTCAACTCTGTGAATAATGGTCTTTTATGAAAATAAAAATGTAGAAACTTGCATCAATCTCCCACAATTTTCCACTTGGTTTTCATGAGAAACCTTTTTATTGAATATGCACAGGAACTTCATAATGTAAGTATATTGCATTTTCCTGGCCCCCGTTGATGATTCCCA